AGACAAGATTCGATAGTTTCTGCCGTTGTGTTGCTTGTCTGGCAATAATTCATCTACTAGTCCGGTGGGCTCACTTGTCATTCTGGGTAATGAGGATCCTGTCATATCATCCTCAACTATCTACTAATTGCTAATTGCTAATTGCTAAGTACATACTGTAATGCGATGATGTTGGTTGGTTTGGTGTCTGACGTATACCAGCATGGAGGACTATGATCTCCGTGGCATGGGAGTACGTACTTGCATACTTACTATTACTCCTACGGACTACTAGTTACCAGGTACCCGTGGTGGATGGAGTGAAACATCTCCCAACAGGCAGATACATACACAGAGATAGTAGGACTGCAGTGTCTGCCTATCTAATACTATCCGATTACGCATCATTCATTCCAATTCCACGTAAGTCCCATCCCCCTCCTCTCCTCTACCCCAGATAAGCATTGTTGAAAGTATTCCCACATTCCTATCTTCTCCGCGCATACATGCAGAAAGTACATTCCTCGCTGTCAATCATCCATCCCCTCTCGCCACCCTTACTCCCTCCTCCTCCGCCACGGCTACTATCGGCCCTTCACTCTGCCATCTCATTGCTCGCACGGATACATGTTCCTCTGTCCAGATGATCAAGCCCAATACCTTGGTCAATACTCATAAAATAAAATGGAAAATAAAAATAACAATCATGATCATAATCATAGTAATGATAATACTTTGCTATTATACCATAAGTAGGGCGCTAATCTACCGTGCTTGTACATACAGATGCAGGATAATATAAAGTCACTGATCAATGTCATCATCAAAAAGGATTGGGCAGTCTGGGATGCGTAGAAAAATAAAGATTCACCGACGCGGAAATCCAGAAATAATTCGAAATGAACAAAAGCAAAATACACATGGAAGGGAGTATCAAATCAATCCAATATCAACGCCGCTGTGCAATGCATATTCAATCACCGTCACGGGATTCGAGTGTAAGTACTATCCTCTTGTAGATCACCGGAAAGGGAGAGGGGTAGAGGGTATTGGGTCAACTGCTTTTATCATCACACGGTAAGACAGAGAGAAAAAGAAATTCATCAACTATCCCAAAATATGGGATGAAAAGGACGGAGGGTGAAATATGAATGCAGGTATTAGAAGACAAATGTCCGAAACTCCTCGAGACCAGCTCGATGAACCCACCCTAATGCCGGCGGCCACCCATGTACGACCCTGCCGCGGATGCCAGGAAACGCGCCACAAAACCCGGGTGAGTTTGTCCGGGTCCATGTGCGTGACTCAGGGAGTGTCGGGCTTTCTTATTCGGCTGCGACAGCTCCTCCACTTTCGTGCCGGCCAGCGAGACATAGCCGTTGCTCACCGACGGGCTGCGGGTGCCATCCACAACATGCACCTCGTTCATACTAGTGATCGAACTGGACGTACGTAGACTGGCGGGCGTGTCGCTCCGCGAGCTGGGTGCGATGCTGGAAGCGCGCGAGCTCAGCGAGGGAAGCGTTTCAGCACGTGATAGGCCTGGGACCTCCTGCACAGCTGGCGGAGAAGAGATGGACGCATGGCTGCGGGTCGAAGGTCGTCGGCGGGGTGGATACGGACGGTACCGCTCCGATTCGGCCACGGAGGCTGGTGAGGCGCAGTAGGAGCTGCCTGAGGAGACAGAAGAAAGGGAAGCCGACGATGCTGGGCTGGGGGGCAGGCGTCTCCGCGTGGGAGACTCGCCGGGCATGCGGCGACCCTCGGCCTTCTGACGGTGAAGGCGAGCAGCGAAAAGGTCGGCAGAGGCGTGAAAGCGACGCCATTCACGGGGCTGACGCAGCTGGGCCTCACGTTGTCGCTGCTCCTGGATCTGGAGACGCCGACGGATGGGCATGAGGAAGGGCTCCAGGTGATGCAGGAGGTCTGCCTCGTCGACACGGATGTCCCAGTCTAGCAGGAAGAGCAGCTGACGCTCCATCAGGTTGACTTCGGGCAGCGAGAATCCAAAGCCCTCGTAGCCGCGGACGGAGGTGTACCGGGCCCAATGCTTGTTCTTTGGACTGGAGTCATTGAGGTTCTTGGCTGCCAGAATCAGGGAAGCCAGGAAGATGCGATGCACTGTGCAGCGCATGCCCTTGGCGACGGGGGGCAGGCGAGCCCGCAGCCGGGCCAGATAGACCAGCGAGGTCATCAACGTCGGCACCTGCACCTGCGAGCGGAGAACTAGCGAGGTAATAAAGGTGGTGACGGATGGTAAGGGAGGCAGGTCTGCATCCAAGGGCGGCGTGCTGGGGGGCGTGGGCTGGCCATGCGCGTGATGCGCTGTCACATGCGGTTCGCAGCGGATGACCTGCATCGCTTGTTGAGCCAGATGAGAGATCATGTCTCGCGAGACGGGCTGCATGATGAACTCATGCAGCGCCGCCCGATCGAAATCCATGATGCTGGTGGTGTTGGTGGTGGGGGATGCAAAGTTGGTGCAAGGAGAGTAGGGATGGACAGCCATGGTACTTTGCAGGATGCAGGGGAAGAGGGATCAGGAAGACGAGAGAGCGAGAGCCAGCAGACAAAAAAGAAAGCGAGCAAGACGCAGGATATAGAGAGGCGTGGGATAGTCTAGTGAAGAATGTGAATCCCGCCAGCAGGAAAGGGTAAGGAATGTGTTGTCGTGTCAACCTCCGTGATGAATGGGCTTGAAAATAGCAGTGAGACAGTCACTTGAGACAAGTGATAAGATAGATCGGTTGCCACTTGGGGAGGGAAGATCGTTTCAATATTAAATAGATAGAGCCGACAAGTCTTGCCAACGAGATAATAATGATAATAAAAATAGTATATGATATAATAATAATAAGTAGTAGTGGTGGTGGTGGTGGTGGGAATAAAAATAACCACACGTTGCTATGATGGCGGGAGTTGTTGTTTATGGTGTTTGTTGGTATAGTTAAATAACTTCCCTCGTGAAGAATGAATGACCAACAAGAAAACAAAAAAAAACAGCGAGGGAAAAGACGGATCATCCAAGCCTGATATAACACCAACAGCGAAGGCTGGACAGGAGCTGCAAGGACAGGAGGGCACCCGACGCGCATTGCATTACATGCATTCAAATCCATCCATCCATCCATCCATCCATCCATTCAACCCATTCAGGTTGGACCTGACAAGCACCCTAGACAAGAACGAACTAACCACCAGTCCTGCAGGGGCCGATCAACGGATGATCGCTGGGTGTGGGTGCGGGTTTGGCGCGCGCGAGAGCCCGAGACCAGTGGCAGTGGCCAAGCATAACGGGATGGGATGATTGGACTGGATTGGATTGGATTGGAAGAAGGGCACCAAAATGGAACTGGAATTATGTGTGAGTGCCTGCCTGTGTGGGTTTGTAAGTTTGTGGGCGCGCGCCAAAAGAATGCCCGAGACACGAGATGCAGGAATGAATCAAGGAGCGTGGCGGGAAATGGAGGAGAAAAAAAGGCAAAAGGAAAAAAAGAGAGGAGGCCCAGCTGAGCGCGTCGGCGGCACGAATCTCCATCACGATCCTAGAACGCGTGAGAGATACTTGGCTAGCCTGATGTTATTTCTAATTATACTCAAGGAGGATTTTTACAGCATGTGTTGTTTCTCCATGCCAATCTGATTGATTGATTGATTGATTGATTGATTGAACTGGGGATGTTACCCCTCTCTTTCTTGCTCTTCTCCCCTGTCAGCACTTTAGGGCTGCTGCACTTAAGCGCCCGGATGCAAGCGCCGCGATTGATGATCGTGCATAATTTGGCAAGCTAGCTAAAATAGCTGGATGTGATTGTGCTTGCCGCTCATGCTGATGCTTCTATTCTTGTTACTTCACACAGCTGCTTAGCTGCTAGCTGCTATACTTGCTACGGCTGCCTGTCATGCATTGGCTCTGCTTGACAGCCTTCTCTGCTCCACCTCCGCGGTTAGGTCTCAACGTGGGTGACGATGGTTATATTTAGCAACTTATGGAATTCCTCCATGATTATCAACCCAACGGAGTTCCAGGCCTATGTACATATGATGATTCGACCGTCGCCTCGTCGCCCCGGCGCGTCATCAAACCATCGACGCCTGCTTGCCACCCCGAGCAACCCCCTCCCCCTCCCTTCTTCAAAAACAAACCCCCTCGTCCTATAACTATGTCCCTCCGGTATCCTGCCCAGGGAGCTGAAACACGGCGCCTACATTCTCATCCTCCGCTCCTAACAATCCCTTTTTGAAATCATTAGTATGTATCCTGCCACACTCGGTGTTTGTGATTTCATTTACTCGATGGAAACGGAGTACTCGGACACCTTCAGCTCAGCGTCGCTACCGGTGAAGGGCTCGGTACCCGCCTCAAGGGTGGTCAGGTACAGGCTGTCAGAGACACCCTCGTTGTCCACCAGGTAGGTGAAGAAGTCGTTCAGGTCGCCGGAGAAGTCCTCGGTGGTCGACTGGGCGACGAAGCTGTAGACGGTGGTGTCGCCGTTGGGGCCGGTGTACAGGTCCCAGGTCACGCCGTTGATCGTCGGGGTGGCAATGGTGGAGCCGGTCGACGAGATGGGGCCAGCACCGCCCAGGGCAGCAAGCCAGACCATGATCTCGTACTCATCGGAGGAGGCGTCGGCGGTCGAGCCCAGGAACATGTCGTAGGCCACGTCGGCCACGATGTCGGAGCCAGAGTATCTATTCCCAAAAAGTCAGCATGCGTCCTGACGGTCGGTCGGTCGGAAGGTCTAGGCTGCAACATACGTCCACTTCCAGGTGGAGGGGATGCTGGAGATGGAGCTCAGCTGAGTACCAGTGAACTGCAGAGCAGCGTTGGCGTAGCTCTTGACGTCACTGCTGCCACCCTCCCAGGACCAGCTGGTGTGCCAGGCGATCTCGTTGCCGCTGGCCGAGTCGACGCCGGTGCACTGGGAGCCGCTGGAGGCGTTGTCTTCACCCCAGAGGTCGTTGTACAGGATGAAGTCGCCGGCGGTGGCGGTATCCCATTGGCCGCAGAAGTCGCTACGGCGGCTGATAGAGGCGGCCGAAGCCAAGGAAAGAAGAGCGGAAAGAGCGAGAACCTTCATGGTGATAGTGATTATTGGTCAAAGGAAAGACGATTGGTCGGGTAAAAGTATTGATATTGGTGCAATGTGCGATCAACGTCCACTGACCCAGAGAATTATAGTGAATGAGCTGCTGAGAGGGAACTCCATCTTGCTCCGGCCGGGCTGCCTTCTTATAGCCATGAGTGTGCCGTCGAGGTCTGCTGGAACAGGATAAAATTAGGCATAGCCCTCATCAAGCAGAAACAACCGGGGCAATTTAGCCTATGGACCTTCCGAGCTTAGTCCTCATGGCCGTTGAGACATGTGCACTCAGAATCAACGAAGCTTCTTGGAAAGTCCGTCGCCGAATGGATCCTGACCCCGAGTGGACCAGGAGGGAGAAGGCCGATAGGGTGCTGGTGGTTCTGGTGGTGCTTGTTCCTGGTTTTCGAAACGGTCCCACGGAATGCCCCGTGCAGAAATGGAGGTCAACCGGACTCACGGACACGGCGATAATATCCAGAGGAGTTTAGATCAGGGGAAAATCAGTGGATTCGTCATCTCGAGACGGTATAATGTCCCCGAATGAGAGGGGGGCAGCCACGGAGATGGTCCGTTTCGGATTAGATAACAGGATGCCGTTTAAATGAATGTTCAGGACGCCCGAGAGGGGCGTGGCTCGTCCGCAGGGTTCCAAGAGGTGGACAGCTTTATTAATCGATCGGATTAATCCCACAACGGGCTCCGTCGAGGCACATGGTGCTGTCAGAAGAAACTATTTTTGTGGACGGATTAATTTGATGTTGGAGAGGAGTACTCTGTAGAGTAAAGTTAGTAACTACGGAGTAACTTAGTGAGTTTATTCGGAGGAATGATAATTGGCATGTTTGACAGCCAGACAAACTCGGCCAAATGCTGCTGGCTGTTGCTGACTCAGCCGGGCTTTCCTGAGGGCCTTCCCGGATCAGGCAACTCGAATATCCTCAATCCATCAATCAGAACCATAAAGAATAATCACCCTATCATCCTTCCTCAATCCCCTCTTCTCTCCTTCTCCTTCCCACGCCCTTCCCCCCCCCTTCTCCACCCTCCATTAGCTTCTCTGCAGCTCCTGTTTTTCCGGTCAATTGCTTTCCCTCCCGGAACAGTTCGTCATCATGCGCTGCGCTAGCTTCGCCGTGGCCCTCCTGGCCCTTTTCACTGGTCTCTACAGCTACCTGAACGCGCGCCTGGAGCAGTTCTACATCTTCGATCCCTCCCACCTGCACGACCTGTCGCAGCGCGCCATTGCCGCTCATGGCAATGACACTCGCTCGGTGGTGAACTTCATCGTCTCCGAGCTGGGCGAGAAGGTCACCGACACGCACCTGAACCTGGACGAGGAATGGGTCTTCAACAACGCCGGTGGTGCGATGGGGGCAATGTATATTATCCATGCTAGTGCGTCCCCTCTTTTGCTCCATACCACCTCTATAATTATCCATGGTGCCTGAACTAAGCTTTGATTCTCCTATAGGTATCACGGAGTACTTGATCATTTTCGGTATGGCTTCCCCTGTCTCCCGGATATTTTTATGCCCTCGATTGCACGAGCTAACTACTCTCTCCCCGTCCATTAGGCACCGCTATTGGTACTGAGGGCCACACTGGCCGTCACACGGCCGACGACTACTTCAACATCCTTCAGGGCACCCAGCTCGCCTACGTCCCTGGATCCTACGAGCCCGAGGTTTACCCCCAGGGTAGCGTGCACCACCTCCGCCGCGGTGAGGTCAAGCAGTACAAGATGGATGAGTCGTGCTTTGCTCTGGAGTACGCCCGTGGCTGGATTCCCCCGATGCTCTTCTTCGGATACGCCGATACCTTCTCCAGCACTCTCGACTTCCCGACTCTGTGGGCGACGTCCAGAATCACTGGTCGCGAGATGATCTCCAACCTGCTCAAGGGCAAGATGTGAATGATAGATGGCGAGATGATGGGTATATGTATAATACTATTACTATTCTCACTATGTTAGATAGACGACGATGTTGTTCTCTAGAATACACTACATTTAATAACCCTACCACAATTCGTCCTGTCATCCCCTTTGCGCTTTTTTTTCCGTTGTGCCTGTTTATTTTTCCCCCTTCCCGGGGAACCACCCAAACAGTGCAAACACACCCACACCCTGACTCATCCAAGTCCTTATCGATAAGCCAACATTCCAGGCCCGCGAAATCAGTTTATCAAAAATTGCTCCCCTCATCGCCTCCACCACCACCCACTATACGAACCCCCCTCAACCCAGAACCACACCCACAAGCCACCACCATGCCCCCCTCCCCCTGCGCCCGCTGCCACGACCAACGGGCAGTTATCATACGGCCCAAGAACCGGCAAAAGCTCTGCCGCACCTGCTTCCTGCACGTCTTCGAGACCGAAGTCCACGAAACCATCACCTCGACCTCTCTCTTCCACCCCGGCGAACGAGTCGCCATCGGCGCCAGCGGCGGCAAAGACAGCACCGTCCTGGCCGCCGTCCTCAAGACCCTCAACGAACGCTACAACTATGGACTCGACCTATGCCTCCTCTCCATCGACGAAGGCATCAAGGGTTACCGCGACGACAGTCTCGAGACCGTGAAACGCAACGCCCAACAATACAACATGCCGCTCGTAATCGTCAGCTACGGCGACCTGTACGGCTGGACAATGGACCAGGTGGTGGCGCAGGTCGGCAAAAAGGGCAACTGCACATACTGCGGGGTATTTCGGCGGCAGGCGCTGGATCGCGGGGCCGCGAAACTGGGCATTAAGCATGTGGTGACGGGTCATAATGCGGATGATGTGGCGGAGACAGTGATGATGAATTTGCTGAGAGGGGATTTGCCGCGCTTGTCGCGGGGCACGAGTATTGTGACGGGGTCCGCCGCCAGTGATATTAAGAGGAGTAAGCCGTTGAAGTATGCTTATGAGAAGGAGATCGTGCTGTATGCGCATCATCGCCAGTTGGATTATTTCTCTACGGAGTGTATCTATTCGCCTGAGGCGTTTCGGGGTAGTGCGAGGACGTTGATTAAGGATTTGGAGAAGATTAGGCCGTCGTCGATTTTGGATATTGTTAAGTCTGGGGAGGATATGGCGCTTCTGGTGCCCGCTGAGGTTAGGGGGAAGGGGGCTGAGGATGAGGAGGCCGGTGGTGGTGGTGGGTGTGGGAGTCAGAATGGGCGGACGAGGGGTGGTGAGATGGCGGAGATGGAGAGGAAGTTGAAGGAGGATGAGGCTGCCAAAGATAGGGAGATGGAGATTACTTCTGACAGCTTGTCTAGGAGGCAGCAGCAGCAGTTGGAGCAGATGCAGACGCCGGCTCAGAAGAAGGTCAAGTCGCAGGTACTGGGGACGTGTGAGCGCTGCGGTTATATCTCCAGTCAGCGCGTGTGCAAGGCATGTACGCTTCTGGAGGGATTGAATAAGAATCGGCCCAAGACGGCGATTGAGATGGAGATTGGTTTGGAAGATGAGGAGAGCAGCTCGACGTTGCGCAGGCAGATGGAGAAGGTTGAGCTGGGGGGTGTTTGAAGATATACAGTTATACCCGTTATACATATACCCATCATGATCACAGATTCATACCAATTAGAAGAAGTTCAACACCAATTATCATACCGTCACTATGCTATATAGTAAGGTCTTTCCTGTTACTGAAAATACACTTCGAAAGGGCATCAACAATAAGTACTTACCTCTTATACACATCACCCATGTCACTTCTATATATCGGCTCCACAGGACTACTAGTAGTATGATCATGCCAGCCACAATGTCGAGTAGTAGTATGATGAACTCACCAGCTCATCCAGATAGAGACGACATGTTCCTTCATGGTCTAACAATCCTCCACTCCCTCCTAAATGAACAAACTCCAACGAAACCTCTAATAAATCATCATTGATCTATAATACAACCCTCCCCCATCAAAATAATCATACATACAAATATCATACACAAACCCCCAAATCCATACAATTCCAAAGCATACAAAACAAATCATCACAAATAAAAGAAAGTACACCCAAAAACTCCACCCATGGTTTATTTTATCCACCCTCCACCCTCCACCCCATGCATCCATGCATCCATCGATTCACCCATCATCCATCCTTCCCAACATCTCCATCTCCGAACACCCGTTTGTACATATTTATTCATCCTTCTTCCCCGCCTCAACAGGCAAATCCCAACCCACCCGTCTAGCCGTCAACCGAATCCTCTCCTCCTCATCGAGCGTAGTACCGGGGTTATATCTCTCGACGAGCTCCGCATACACGCGCTGCGCCTTAGCGTAAATAGCGAACTGGTTTGCCTGATCAATTCGATGTTGGCGGAGGGCTTCTTGTGCGTCTGCGTCCGCGACACTTGCTTGTTGCTGGTTGGTGGTGTACATGTCGCGGAGGCGGTGTTGGAGGGGAGTGGGTGTGGAGAGCGTGCGGCGGGGGAGTTCGCGGAGGAGGGCGCGGTAGCTTGTTTTGATGGCGGTGGACATTTTGATGTTTTTTTTTTTTTCTTTGGGGTTTTGTTTTAGGAGTTTGTGGGGGTTGTAGATATGTGATTTATGTAGGTGGTAGGTTTGGTTGGATGGTGGATGGGCTACGGATAGGTTTGGTTTACGATGGTTGTATATCACGTGATTTTTACATTTCTCTCTAAGGTTTGTAACAAGATATGGACGGGTTGTAGTAGAAACTACATTATGTACATCATCATCAATCAAATGACGATCATCATTCATTGTACTCGTCAGCTTGGTGCTGGTGCTGTTGCTGTTGCAGACTCTGCTGCAACTAGTCATAACTCTCTCTCTCTCTCCCCTTCGTCTCTCACGACCGTAACCAGCCGAACTTCTTGCGTCCGGTGTCGCCGCCTGCCGAGGGTTCGACTTGCATACTGCGCGAATACAAGTCCTGTTGGTTGTTAGCATCAATTAAATGAAGTAATTGATAGTGGGAAGAACTGGGCGTACCTCGTCATCCCCTGACAGCTTAATCTCTAATACCAACCGCTCTACCTCCTCGTACTTGGGCATATGCGGATACGGTGTCTTCTGGCTGCGCTGGATCCCCAGAACCACCTCTCCCATCACCTCGAACTTGCGCCAGTTGATGCGGTTCTTGTTGTCGCCCACAAAAGTCTTGTTGCCCTCCTCCGCTGACACCAAATCGCGTCGGTGCAGCGGCAGGAACGGGATACGCTCCGCAAAGGAATTGTCCCATGCGAGACGATATGCAAAATGACTCTTCTGCGTCCCCATGAGGATGACCAGCCTCATAAAGTCCTTTTGCGTTTGCACCGGGACCAGCTCCCGCGTCTGGGACAGTCGGTGCACCGGGGTTCCGTTGATGCCAGCGATCACGGCCCCAAGAGAATTGTAGTTGTTTAGTCGGCGGAGTTTCTGTGGCTGTCAGATAAATGTTTCCGCTTTGTTCTTCTGAGTCCGACTTACCAATGCTATGTTCATGAACTTCTCCAGCGCCTTGGCTCGATGCTTGGGCTTGTCCCGGAGTAGGATCACGCTGGCTACAAAGAATGCGACATGGTTGAACTGCTTGATCATCCGGTTGACGTGCTTCAGGCTCAAAATCTTATCCTTCTCTACGCCGGAAATGCTGACATGCCGCACGAGATCTCGCGGTCGGAAAGAATTGAACATGATCCAGTCGATGCGCGTCAATTCTCGTGCGAAATCCTCATCCGGAATCTCCATCAGCTGGCGCCATTGCACTTTCGTTAGCGGAATGCGTGGTGTGAGATCCAAATTATGCGCCTCCCGTTGCGCAGCTTCGGTACTCAAAAACGTGAACGACTGGCTGGCGATGGTCCCGGGCTTCTCGGAGGTAAAGGAATTCGACATCGACCCCGACAGTCTCGACGCAGGCTCGGCTGCACCCTCGCTAAGGTCCAGAGCGCTCATATTGTAGATAGGGTCTTCTTCTTCTTCCTCGCCTTCATCGCCAAGCGGCGGTGCCCCAAGGAAGATTGACGGTGAGCTGCGCCCGGAAAACTGGAAAGGGGGGTCGGCCGTGTCGGGTTCTTCCATGTCGCCATCCCTATACGGCCATCCAATATTATCGTCCTCCGCATTCCCCTCCAGATACGACCCAATCTCCTTGGCGGCAAACATGTAAAAATGACTCTTCTCCAGCGTCGTGACGAAATCGGTGATTCGCTTGCGAGTCTTCGGATATGCCAAGTCGCCCGGATATTCAGAAACCCACTGTGCCATGACTCCTAACAGCCTCAGCTGAACTGCGATGCGGTCGAGTTGGTCCGTCATGTCATTTTCGTTGCGTTCGAATCGGTTAATCAGGGCATTCAGTAAGGTGCACGGCGCGGCAAACTTGCGATATAGACACAAAAAGATTGAGGCAAACTTGGAATCTTGCTTCGACATCGGTTGTGCAACCAGACGATCTACGAGCTCGTCAAAGGTGAGACCTGCATCATTAGATGAGCTCTCACTAGGCGTCTGGTCCTTGCTTCCCGGGCTCGACGGAGCACTCCGGGGCCCATCGAAGTCCTCCCCCATCTCTAAAAAGTTGCTGAACGCATCTGACCCGCCGCTGTTGCGCCAGGCCGTGTGAAGACGATGTTGTCGGTTGAGATCTTTACTTGGTGACGACTCCCCAGACACAGACTGTTTGCGCGAGGCCAGCCGGGACCCTGAAGGAGGCGTATGCGGTCGCACCGGATGCGAGTTGCTCCGGGCGTAACGGAAGGCCTGGCCATTGGAAGCCAGGTTGGCAGAGGTGGCCGGTTCGGTGGGTTGCCGGTCTACACCGTACCCATCGACAGCTGGATCAAGAGGTCCTGTGATTGGGCCGCCTGCGGCTCCGGATAATACAGCGGTGGGGGTCTCTGAGTTGGTGCGGCTGTGATGCCAGTCTGGGGTGGCGGATGAGTTGGGGGGAAAATCGATGAAGTCTAAAAGAGGAGCCGTTAGCATCCACGTGTGATCCAGACTTGCGGGAAAATAACGGCCACAGAAATTGGGTAGTCCAGCTGTGCTCCAGCTGCTCTTGCGCTGGGCCCCTTCGCCCCGAGGGATCGGCGGGTCCTGAAAACCACTGCACCATGAGATACGCGAACGCTAAACGCAGGCCGCGCCGCGAACTAGCGCGAAACCCAGTGGGCCATCGCTCTAAGGGATGGGCTATAGCCGGGGGCGACGCAATGCGTTGGGTGATGCGAGCAAACAGATAGCCACCGAGGCAGTGGATCGTTCCGCCCTGTTCTTTGACTTTCCTCGCCTCTCGCGTATCCACATGGCAATCGCATAGGTCAGCTTGTCCACTTACCATATTTACGGTTGATCACAGAGCGCAGAACTAAGGCAATGCACATCTTCTGCGACCGTGGTGAGTCAGGTGAGGTCCGGTGGATTTCATAGCCTCCCAATATTGGCTCCACAGGACTGTCAGGGGGTTGTATGTCGCATTTACTGGCCACCAGCGTAAAGGGTATGTCAGAAGCGGTTAAGGAGTCTGCAGACCATCAGCCCACATCCTAGGGAGAAATTGCGCAGCGACCGCGGCGCTGCAGCACCGGCAATGCGACCAACCTAGTAGTTCGGTAAATTCAGGGAAACTGGCCGGTTGAGTCATATCGAGTAGAACCAGCACCCCATCCACTGTAGGAGGCGAGTCGTTACCCAGTAAGGGCCAGTTGACCTCGCCATTGCTCCCAATCGAGATCTCCAATGTATCTATCTCCATCAGACGAACCAAGTACACCGTCCCGTCCAGGGACATCTTCTTCGTAGTCGATCGGGAACTAAGCGGATGCTTCATGTCCAGGGCGGTTTCAATGAATGTCGATTTTCCGACATGGTCAGGACCGACCACAGCGATGCTCACATGGGGAAAACTCGGCTTCGGCGTTGTCTGCGGTACACGCACGGGGGTCAGAAAAACATTGCGCTCGCCAAGGGTCCAATGACATAAATTTGGATTAACCATACCTCCTCACGGGATAACGATGGCACCCTATCCCCTCCGGCCGAAGGCGGGTTCTCATCTTCCTCCAGAAGTGTCCGATCCACCTTATTCCCCGATTCCATTGCCGTTCTAGCCGAATCAAGCCGGTACAAACCTCCGACTGGAGCAGAAATCGTTCGGCTGGGAAGGCCCGGTCGTTGTGGAAATGGGGCGACATCAGCTTTGTCGCTAGATGCTCGCTCTCTTCGCAATGGTTGGGAGGCCATAGTGACGAGGTGACTTTACTTTTTTTCTGCGCGAACGGATAGGCGGTGCTGTGGCGCGAGTAAGGTCCGGTCGAACAAACAAGGTGCGACAGCGCAGGGTCCAACAGCTACGTAAGTGAGTGAGGCGGACACGACAGCTCATCCATTGTCGCTTGGGGGGGAAACGTAAAAAAGGTCCAGGCTTCGTCGGGTCCGCAATCGAAAGATTTCAGAGAGGCTGCTCGAATCAGCTCGGGGGGATGGCCTTCCCCTTTTAAATTCGGTTGTTTGTGGTCTTCGAATTTCGATGATGATTAGCTGAGTGATTTTTTTGGTCGTCTGCCTCTCTTTTCTTTTTCGGTTTCCTTTCTTTTCCTCGTTCCTCGTTCCTTTTCCTGCTTTTCTTGACTTTTGGGGGGGGGATCTCGTCGGCTGAGGCAGGTTACCGGAGCTGGACACAGGTAGAACCCAAGTTAGCAACAGAATCAATAATGGTACCGGCAAGAGGGTAGCACAAGTCTTACGAGAAAGCGTCCGGGTTGGCAAATCGACCAGGGGGAAGTAAGAGCAATGAGTGGAAGCGAAGAGGCAGAGAGTGTCAGGGAGAACAGCTTGAGGAAGGCCGCCAGTTGCAGGCGGGAAGATGTCACTCGACCGAAAAATTGAGCCCCCAAGAGTCAGTCAGAAGTTGGGGCAGTTTTGGGGGGGGCGGCGGGCGGGGAGATTTGGAAAGCAAGTCTGGTTTGGCCTCTCCAACGGCAAGGATGATAACTATGATTATGATTTTATTTTGGTTTTTAGTTCTTATTATTATTAGAAACGCCGGGGCACTACTCTATGGGTCAATCTAGCAGAATCCCTAGCGGAGCACAATGGCAGGACATCCCAGCCAACTGGGAGGATTGTGATCTTACTAAAATCGGTCGTGTTCAACACTGGATGGGAACTGGTGTGCCCGCCGCCTCCTCTCCTCACTCCCTCCTCACCAAACTCTCCGGCCAACGATCCAGAACCCCAATGGCTCATGCTGGTCAGCAAGGGAGTCTGCCGTCCAAGTTAACTCAACTCGACAGCGCAAGTTACTTTACATGCAACAATAACAGTACACATTACATTCAATGCACCCGGATGGTTGTTCCCCAGAGTTTCTCCAAGCATAAGAACGTCCACCGGCAAACGGTATCTCCTCCCCGGAACTTCCCATTGACATGAGCGGGCGGAGATGCTCGGAACGAATAACATCGCAGTTCATCATGATTTGGCCAGTGTACCCAAGACGGGGAGATCGGTGACTAGCTCTAGTAGTCTGGAAGCCTTTACGAATCACAACAAGGCAAATCTTAAGGTTGAGACCAGTTGCTCAAATTCCCGTTGTCCGGACGTCTCGTTGGTAGACATTGAATGTGATGAGGCACAGTGATGAACGATTGGCGGCATTTGGAGGAATCCTTCCAGACGGGTCACATTTCCCCGCCATTTTCCCCTCATGGGGGGTGAGAGATAGTATGGAGTAGACAGATAAAATGCATTGCCTAGGTTGAAGGGCTGCTCTCATGAAGATCTGCGACGTTGAGGTCACTTCAATTCGGCTGGGGATGCAGTGCGTGGAACTGGATGAATCAACCTAGGCCGTTCTCATGCTCCGCCATGGACGACAATCTCCAATCTTACCATGCTGAAAGTCAAAGTCTGAAACATGGCTTGTCCAGGTTTTCTATGCACATGGCGACTATCTACTACTTGTTTCAAGGTTTGGTCAAGGATGGCTGTGTTCTCTCGCCCCTGGGTTTGTTTAAACTTTAGTCACATGTGGGCAAAGTTACTTCAGACGGTTGCTTGCCAGGCTTCATTACCAGTAGTAGGTCTGCCTGGATGGAGTTTTTGATGGAGTATACTCTAGGATCTTATGCTACATGCTGCACGATGACATCCCTGTCTCTCCTTGAAGACTTTGACCAGTCGTTTGAATTAGATAGTTCGGTGCCTCAGGCCATAACGTGACCGGCTCCGTCAAATTCAACATCGCACAATCTTATAAAATGTCCCTGTCAGCATCGACTTGGATAGTTTAGTCTCCCATGTCTGCATCCGTACATTGTATCCCGTCAGAGGTACACAGCCCAGATGCCATGACACGGACTGTTCTAAGTATATGTTAGAATCTTTGGCTTATCACAGGAGGGAAATCCGGTTCATGCACCTCATGCTTACATGGCGTTGTGCAGATGGATGGCATGCACACTTTCGGGAACCTGGAGACACGTCGGAGTCTCAGTGAGACAGTTGAAGCATTGATGGCGGTGTATGTTGTGATAGCTAGTCGCTGTGAAGCCATGCCAAAGTACCGAGCTTTCAGCTAGACCGCATTCTGGTAAGGTGAACGCTATTTTGGCCTGCCGCACCTCTGTCCAGGCTCGAAAAGTGCGGGCAGCGGATACTTGGTATTCGAGAGATTTCAAATATTCTTTATTAGTCGCTTCCGAATGGTGGAAGATCAACCGCGGTCGGTGATAGTCGTGGTTGCGCAAGTTGACGGACTACTATATATTTTCATATGCATCCGAGGAATGTAACTGAGCATCGGTCTCTACCAGGCCTTAACAACCTTCCACGTCCTCATGAAGGCTTGATTGCACTACCATGCAAATACACCCAACCTCGGCAGATCTCATCGAGGAGTGCACAGCCTGGGAAGTACCCCGACATAAATTCAGGAAGCGTAGGGTCCTACTCCAATGAACTCGCAACTACTTTGGAGTCCATCACATGGTCTCGCGTGGAAGCTCATTACCAGTGACCAAGGACATGAAACGCACGTATCCCTCCGCTTTTTTTCCAGTCTCCAGGCCCTCCTCGCATCTTTCCCGTAGCCTCCTCACCCTTCCCACTCCCCGGTTGAAGCCCTTCTCACGGGTCCACGGCCCGTTATGACGGTGCGGCCCTTTGCCTCTCCCGTGGTGTCGACCCCGACCTCCAAAGCGTTGTGTCTCCACCCATGCATCTTCCAAAGTAGTCTTGTAGATATCGTACAGCTCCTCACGAAGCGAAGGGAACCGATCGAGTAAATCTTTGAGTTCGGTTGAGCTTCCTAAGGCTTTAATATCGAGGCCATTCTGAGCTTTAGGTGTTATCTCGCTGGCCGCATGCTCATTCGATTCGCCGGGAGGCTGTTGGATGTCGACCGTTGGACCGGTCGGTTTTGGCGATGGTGCTTTAGGTGCGCAGTAGATTTTATGGGACTGGGTGCAAGCCAGAGAGCAACTAGGAGGGTGGCAATTAGCACGGGTATGTTCCTCCCTTCTCAAAAGAAAAGGCTTAGAGCACAATCATACCTCATGAGCCCACATGTTGGGCATCGGTACTTCGAAGGCTCCGAGACGCAAACCTCGCAAGTGCCGGGCATTTTATCGCCAGCGTCCCATCCAAACCTTGTGCCAACTGCGCGACGATCAAGCTCTGTAGAACATTGTCTTGCTTCGGCCGGTCGCAAGGGTCGTATGAAGCGAGCGCGTTGGCGTGTGGACAAGGATAGTTACCTTGTGTCCTGCAAAATTCAAGGCTTCTGCGAAGGAAAAGTGACGATAAAAGAATGACTGCCGATAAGGAACTGTCAGGGACGATCGTCTAGCGGACCGAAAAGAAACAAACTCAGCCCAATGGGGGCTCACGTGAAGTGGCGCGGTCCATGACGACAATCGATCTCCATCCTCTCAGATATCTACTACGTATTAGTGCCTGGAATATTTACAAGTGCCTCGCTATTTCCCCTCCCGTCAATAAATTGTCATACGATTTACTGATGCGGGCTTGACAATGCCACGAATGTCCGAATGATAGTCATCTCTCTACAGCGGTCCTTCGAGTGCAGTGTGCCGACCCCAAATCTTATCAGCTGTGGCAGACGGCTTGTGGGACAACTTGATCGGCTATGGGAGGTATTCCCTTCCGATCAACCGGATGCAATACGTGCCGGCGACGAAAAGTCAAGGTAAGGCCTATCTTACAAGGCCTGAACAGCCTTGGTTGCCCTCGGAGACGGAGCATGAATAGTCATCTAAAATGTGCCCCTTGTGTAGTGCGATGAGGCAAAGCCGGAATGCAATCGATGCATCAAGAACGGCCATGTCTGCACCGGCTATGAACGAAAAAGGGTCTTCATCCACAAATCGTCCGAGGCCATAGAGGAGGGAGAACTGAAGCTCGTCCGTCGCCCGCAGTCGACTTCCGGGAAGATTCCCGACCGTCAATTAACGCGAGTGGAGCCAGGCTTTCCCCGATTAAATAACAATGCGGAGGTCCGATCACAGCTGCTCGCCTCCTTTGTGGGGGGCTTTCTCCCTTCGTCACGGCATTTGCAAGATGGAAAAGATACAAATATCCTCAAAACGCTCCCCGAACTTTGTGGGAATAGTCCTTTGCTGGACAGAGCGCTTCTATCGCTGTCTTCCGCTTTTCTTGCGAAACAGCACAAGGATGATCGGTTACTTGGGTATAGTACGAAGCTCTATAACAATTCGATGGAGATCATGCATGGCAAGATCAAATCTGGCAAAGGCCTAGGCCAAGATGTCCTATACACAACAGTTGTTTTTCAATTATATGAAGTCAGTGTCACCATTCTCATCGCCTCTCGCTTTTTCTCCGCGGCTGGCCTAACACTTCACAAAGTTGATCCACTCTTCCCCCCCGGGATTTATGGCTTGGATAGCACATGTGCAAGGCAGTAACGCAATCATTAAGCAGTGCAGGGTTAATAAAAAAGGAACTATTGCCGAGAAGTTGTTTCACCGTCAACTTAAATTTGTCACTGTCAGTCTCCTTGGCTTCGGATTGATCAACCAGCTGATCCTCGTAACGACTGAGTCTTGCTGACATTGAACCGCCCGGTTATGTGATGCCGTGGGGAGACGCAAGGCCGCCACCCTCTATGAAGTTCTGACTACGCAAGAACGCTTATCGCAGGGCTCAACGGAACTTGAGCCAATTGATGAACTGATGGACCTCTTGGCCGAGTGCTCCGCTCTCATAGAACAAGTAGACACTTTCATCGAGCAACTGCCTGCCAGCCCTGATGGTGATAAGAATAACGGCGAGAAGTTACTGGGTTCTTGCTTATCGCTAGAAGAAAGACTACACCAGACATGCCTCAAGATGCAGGAGAAACTGGGGGCGCCGTCGACTCTCACCCATGACGTGCCCTTGCGAGAAGACTTGAGAGCACACCTTGCCACCTCTTTATTCCCCGATCCCTTCCAATTCGTCTCCCTGGCCTGCGCCGAATCGCACCTCATTTATTGGGCCACCTTGATAATACTGTACCCGCTAGTTGATGAGCTTCTCGACGTCCTTGGCTATCGCAGAAATGACGTTACACCCTCGCAGTCCTGTGCCATTCATCCTCAGGCGATTGAACAAAGACCCTTGGGCGTGGATGTGGCAACAGATTTCACAGCGCTGGCGGAGCATTATGCAGACGAGGTCTGCCGATCCGTTATGTACTGTACACAGTCTGACATGAATACCCTGGGCGCACAACACCTGCTTGCTCCTTTCAGCCAATGCGCGCAATTCTTTCAGGTTCATGAACTGGCGCAAAAATACAGGTGGTGTCAGGGGGTGTTTGTGCTTCTTGACTCGCTAGGTCTGGGAATAGCTCCGTTGCTGAAGGACATGGTTTGGCCACAATACCGTTCCGCTCGACTACGTAGGTCTTTGTCATCCGTGGGAAAAGTCCCATGATGAGATTTGGCCTGTTCAACGTGCTTCCCGTGCCAAGGTGGCAGGTCGCATTTGAGCGTGTCGGACGCACGCTTGGAAGCACGGGATTAAACTACCCACCAAGATATCATAGACGGCTATCAGCCATCTAGCAACATGGTCTTAACCTAGGATCACCAACCGACTTGTTGGGCTGGATTATAACTAGGAACAGAGCAAGTCAGTCGATGTGAGTAGCAGCAGTTTATTGTTTGCGGGATGAGACACCGAGCCGCTAGCGACACATCACCACTTGTCCTGCTCTGCGCCTTGTACTAGATGCATTGAAGCATGTCCAAGGCCTAATGCTCCCGAGCCAGGAAATTTCAGGAAAGGCCGGGCTAACCGCGATACTGGGTTCACCAGGTAGCAGGCCCAAGCTGTGGCCTCTTGCACAACACTGGTATAACCGAAGCGGAACTCGGCTGAGAGGCAATTATGTTACACCCATAATATATAGTGCTTAGTACCACGGGCATGTATGCCTACCAGTCAGATAGTCCACATTTCACTGTACGAGTAACAAGTAGACCAATTGAGAAGAATTGAATGCCGAACAATTCCTGGGGCAGCGATGTCAAACTGCCGGCAGTTAATTGGTGGAGCCCGCCCTTCATTTGTCAGCACTCACTTTTGGGGGCATCACGTGCTTTCTCATTGCGTCAGAGGGAATCGAGTTTCCCATCGGCATTTCTGGTCGCTTTTCTTCTGACCAGGAACGAGTCTGATATCTGCCACTCCCCTCCCTTATCATCACAGCGCCAATATGTCTGTCAGCTCAGCGTCTGGAAACATGCTTAGGCGCACTCTCTTCAGCGTCAGATTGACAACGCAGCAACTGAATGCTGCGGAGTGCTCCTCCCGGATCGCCAAACCCGCGGTGTTCGGATCATACAGGAATGTCCACCGTTCGGCACGTTTGCCTGCTATCACCGCCTCAGAGGCTCGTCGCCGGCCGACCTTGAAGCCTCACCAGCACTCGCTCGTGCAGGCTCGCGTGAACGGACCATCGCCGTCCAGCAAGCGCACGATATTCATTCAGACGGAAAACACACCGAACCCTGATGTAAGACTCCCCGTGGCACACCAGCACGAAGATTCCAACGAACGAACAAGCATCTGACCCTTGTATGCGGAACCCAACAGGCATTGAAGTTCATCCCTAACCACCGTGTCCTCCCCGAAAATTTCCCGACCACCTTCCTCGAATACCTGTCTCCCCGCTCTACCCTCGCTCCTCCGCACCCCTCTCCCTTGGCAGCAAGCCTGCTCAACGTCGACGGTGTTACCTCTGTATTTTACGGGCCTGACTTCATCACCGTAACTAAGGCGACCGACTCCAACTGGGCGCACATCAAGCCCGAAATCTTCAGTCTCATCACTCAAGCCGTGACATCGGGCGAGGCGATCGTGAACACCGTTGCAAAGACTGGTGAGAGTGGCCAGGAAGGTGGCGAGTCGGAGTCCCTGGCCTACGAGGAAGAAGAAGATGAGGTGATCGGCATGATCAAGGAGCTTTTGGACACAAGGATTCGGCCCGCCATCCAGGAAGACGGTGGCGACATTGAGTTCCGCGGCTTTGAGAACGGCATTGTCTTGTTGAAGCTGCGCGGTGCTTGCCGGACCTGCGATTCGAGCACCGTGACGCTGCGTAACGGTATTGAGTCTATGCTTATGCATTATGTGAGTATCACACTACCTGCATGCATCTTGACAATAAAGTTTGACTAATTGTGTGCTTTTTACCTACAGATTGAAGAAGTCCAAGGAGTCGAGCAAGTGCTAGACCAAGAAGAGGAGATTTCGATGCACGAGTTCGCCAAGTTCGAGGAAAAGCTGCGCCAGCAAAAGGGCGCTGCCGCTACTGCCTCGACGGGCGGCAAGGGAACATTGGATTCGGCACCTTGAACACCCTCCTACTTCGCCTCTTATACATAATTACTTATATTTCACGTGTATTGTACTTTGGACGTCAGATATACTACCATCTGGATTACGGTCTATAGAAAGCTTTGCCAGACAATGCTCAATCTCCTCTCTATCAGTATAACCACTTAATAATGCGCATCCGTAGTGCTCCCACATCAGACACAATATGGACCTTAGCATGCCCGGAATCGAGGTATTCCAGTATTGCATACAATCTACTGAATAAACCCGCCAACTCGGGCACCTTCCTCCTACCCTAAAACCTCCGAGAAAGCAGGGAAATGTGTCAACCGAGCCGAGGATGTCACATTCACTCACACACACACACACACACACACACACACACACACACACACACACACACACACACACACACACACACACACACACACACACACACACACACACACACAAACAAACAACACTACCAACTACCGAAATCCATTCTGTATCTGTGCGTAGCATAATCCACAGTACTAATTCGTGTGTGCGAGCGAGCGACAAACCTAACTAACCAACCGACCAACCAGACTACTGCTAAGCTAAGTACTTAAGTGCAACACTAACAGTGGACTGGACTGGCTCTTAGCAGCGGCAGCGATCATCGGGTCGGGGAGATCGGGAAATGGAGAACAGAACATTAGCTTCAACTTGAATGGTTCGGGCTTGTTTAGTCTATCCAGGCTTATTGGTGCTTCGGTTTCAATGGTAGACTGCATTGATGTTGGAGTAGATCAAGCTAGTACCTATCTTTGAATAATATTATTGACATGGAGTAGATACTAGGAATGAGGTGTCGGGCTGCTATGTAGCATCTCTACTTAGAAGTTTCATGATGAGAGGTTGAGAAGGTTGACTAGTAGTACTGCGTATGTGCTGTGTATCTGGTTTGGTTGGTAAGGGTAAGGGGGTAGTTTAGTATGAATGAGACGGTATAATGTACTTTAGAAGGTGGGAATATCTAAGTGATACAATACAATCCAGTAGAACGAAAGCTTGACACTTGATAAAGACTCACTAAGCTTTCATATCAAGGTACGTTTGGCAAATTGTATACAAGCACAGGCCGTTATACCCTTGATATAGTGTCACCAACGGTGGCTAATTTCGTTCTCCGGTCGGCTATAACCTGCTCACATTGAACTCTTCTTGTTATGCTAGAGCAGATTGTCTAAGCTTGATTAATGCGTATATTTCCTCCGAGAATATTGAAGTTGGGCTATATCCCGAAATCATCGACTTCGGTCCGAACTGCGTCATAGATGTATAACATGTTTGAAAGCACGCTTTGACATCTAGGTATAATGCTGGCTAAGCATAGTAGGCTCCAATAATCTCGGGACGGCTTGGTGGAGAGGATTGATGGTCTGACAGGTCTTGTGGTACCGACAAACTTTCTGAAACGGATGAATGTATTGCATATAGGGATCAGTCAAGTCTCAATGTATGATATTAAGTGAGAAAACATCTGCAAGAAAGGGCCGGAATCGCAGGATAACACTACTAGTAACTACCATTGTGCTCAACTAGAAAAAGAGCAGGAAGAAACAGACAATTAGATGGGGCTATATGGAAGCTGTAGTATGAGGTGCGGAATGTATGCCATGGTGAGTGGGATTAGAGCGTCGGCAAGAAAATGAAACCAGGAGATAACAAACTCGGACAAAAAGAGCAGATCAACGCTCCCCAGAACGAGATGAAGTACAGGGAAGATGATGTGCTGAAAGGCGATCCCTCAGCGGCAGGGGAGCAACCGAATGAGGGGATACGAATCGATACAAATCACCTGATACTATGAACATGAATAAGCCATGATGCTTACTGTCTGTACCCCAGCTATCTATCCCCCCCTACTAATCAGCACAAGATGTGTATGCAAGGTGGTTCATCTGCTTCGGATCCTATAGATGATGCCACGCAGTCAACCAGACATCTCATGACGGCTGCATCCACAGCCCACGCAAACATAGCACTGCAGGACGTACAAACATGGAAGAAGATTAGATCGGCACTCATCGGCGAAAGACTTCGGACAATATGTCCACCGGGTCAGCAAACCGCACTGGAATGGGCTGGACTTGCTCTAGGCTCTTCGATAACCCTGGATGAGAAGAGCTGTCAGGGTCAGACTCTCGACACGATGCAACCTTAATCAAGACATCTTCCTAGTACGTTAAGAATAATATGACATTCATGACAAGTCTGGGGTCAGCCAGAGGATCCATCCCTCTGGGGTAATAAACCATAGTAGGAAACATGTCCAGCTTGCACACAAGAAAGGCGAATATATTATTGTGTTCTGCTCTTCGGAACCGAGATACGAAGAGCCACGCATCGGTGCCACACCTAGTGGTGGGGTAATGGGGGGTTGTTAGTGAACTCCGCTGTGGCTGTAGCCCAATCGGACATGCAGACAAGTCAGATGAGGATATCCCCGAGTCCCGCTAATCATGTTGGTCCCTGTAGCGCAAGTCTAGAGTGATCCGTGGGCCCGGGGTTCAAGCCTCATCGCTTACGAGAAGGGCCGAGGGAAGGGGGCCTATGATTAATGGAGACCGGACCCGGATCTCGTTCCTTGGGAGTGTCGTATCTTGCGAGGTCCAAGAGTAATTTACGATTAGACATTCCATGAGCGGAATCGCGCAGATTCCGAGTAGTCTTCTGCATATCGGTGTGTATGTGTGTGTGTATGTGTGTGTGTGGGAAGAAAGTTCAGCAGGCAGGGAGGGGGGGAGAGAATTGACAATAACAACAATAGCAGAAAATGGCAGGGCAGCAGAAGAGACAGACGGGGTTGGCTGGCAACCGAACGCGGGAAAGCTCTCTCCGCAATTTCCAACGGAGACGATCCTGCAAAAGGAATGGACTCCATGCGAGGATGAGGCATTGATTGGATCGCCATCCCTTGCCTCCCAGTTAGTTCAGTTCTTCCCCCGCAGTCAGGTGCATGGCCTCTTATTCCCTTCTATTGTAATGGAGGGGGAGGAAGAAGAGGAAGAGGAAGAGGAGGGGAGAAGACAAGGGAACTGTTCCTATTCGAGTATCTAGGGGAGGAGAAAAACGAAGAAGGAAGAGGATAATCAGACTAGGCTACTACTAGTCAGGGAAAAGTAAGACGAGATGAAGGTGCATTTGCTGCAAGACCAATGTATAGAGGGTCATCATTACCCTTTTGCCCATCGATCAGGTTCAAGGTACATGCAGCATCCGGGAGGGGAAGAGAGAAGGAGCAGCGAACTAAGGTTGAGGGTGAACGCGTTGATTCGCGTTGGTTTGGACCCGCGGCCAGGATTGCCGTGTAACCTAACGCCAGTATGACGTTGACGAATTCCCAGTGCGGAATGACACAAAGAAAGTAACTGAAAAATCCATCCATGCATGAAAGAAAAGAAAAAGATACTTTGGCGTGAGAAACTGTGCCAAGGGGGAAGAGAGAATTATTATTATGGAATGGAAATTAGGTGTATGTGGTATATTCTGTGTAGTCAGTGTCTCTTGAATACTTTTCGGACAATTTTGCTTTTCATTATATTTATTATTTTTCTTTCTTTTATTTTTTTTCCCCTTTTCTCTTCTCAGCCTTTTCAATGCCCTCCCCCGCATGGATATACACACAGCAGCTAAGAAGTACAACCCGTCTGCTCTTCCCTGCCATTCGTGGCGGTTCGGCTGTTACTTTCGACCCTGAATAACCGTGTATTGTCGACTAAACATACTATCAGCATATAAACCCTGCCAATAATTTCCTCGTTGGCGGTCGCATGATGACCACCTAACCCTTGGAAAATGAGGGTTGGATTTCGGGGGTTTCATGGTGCACCGTTGTTTGGAACCGCTGCGGCCGTGAAATCCCTCCAATTCCCCTTCGGGATTCAACAGGGCTCAGGATAGCCCAACAGCCTGATCCTCCCCGTTCTTTCTGGGTTGCGCCCAAGCTCCTTCAGTGTTCCAGTCTTTTTCTCCTCCTCTCCCCAGCCTCCACAGCCCCATCGCGGGTTGGATCGGGCGATTCCTCAACAAGATTCTCCTTCCCCCAGGTCTTGAACCCGATAGGGTTTCAACGGCATTATAGCTATCTCGAGTAGTTGATCTGATTGAAGGAGAGCAGAAGTTTAGTCATCTTTGTACCTGCTCTGTAATTTAATTAATTCATAAGCTCTTATAGGCTAACAATCATCAGGGTAGTATCTAGTATTTAGTAGCTTCGTGGGAGAAGAAAATAGAAAGCCCCGCTTCAGGGTCAACGGGGAAAGAGGAGAAAAAAAAAGAGAAAAAGAAAAAGAAATGGACCAGGCCGCCAGTCGCAAATCCGGCGATGCTCAGAGGGCGACCGGGGCATTCTGTCTAGGCCAGTCAGAAAGCGCGGAGGATCTTCGACTTGACCTCCCAGAGGCCCGCCCGGCCCACTCACGGGCGTTCCATCAATGGCCGATGGGGTTCTTACTCTCCTCTTTTGCTGCTGGTCGCCTGCTGCCTGTCATACTCCTCCTGCTGCTGCTGCTGCTGTTGCTGCTGCTGCTACGGACGTTCATTCACTACAGTAAGAACCCCCTTCCTCTTCTTTTCCCCCCCCGTCCCCATCTTTTTCTTTACTGGATTTATGATGTATTTATGATTTTTCTTTTCTTTTTCTCCTTTCTAAACTCTTCGGGTATAGTAGTCAGATTGGAAGTTGTGCAGAAGTGAGCCTGTTTACCCGTCAATCCTCCCCGGATCTCTCTCTCTCTCTCTCTCTCGTCTTTTTTGTCCTGAAGCACTGGAGGATCCTTTCCCCATCTTGCGGCCTATGGTTCCGTACCGTATCTAGACTCACGTCGATTTTCTTACCCCGCCTTGGAGCGATACATTGATCGTATGCTCCAGGTACGTAGTCGCCCCCTTAGCCGTGGTTAGTGTGGATGGAGGTAAAAGGTACCGGGCCACAATCGTTCACTTGTACTTTACTCTTCACCACGGGCTCGAAGGTTGGCACTGCTGGTAAGGACCAGGATAAAAAGAACCACAACCACGACCACTTGCTCCTCTTTCCCTCCAATCCCCCCCAAAACTAAAACTAGCTCGGTCATAGCTCACCTTTCACAAACCCTCGACTACTCCAACCTTCAACTCGCGCCACTGCTGCTCGGTGCTCCGACCCGTGGCTCGCTGTTTTCTCCTCCTGGCTCGTCTGGTCCAGTGGCCTGAGGTCGACTTTGAACTAGTCCAGAGCTACCTCCCTTAGCTTGCATTAATATTATCCTCCTACGCAACTTACGACTGTACAACCTTGCCTTCTCCTCTTCTTCCCTTCTCCTACTACCACCGTGCTAATACTCGGTCCTGATCATCTCTTCTTCTCTCTTTCCCCTTCTCCTCTTCCCTTTCTCAGTCCACAAACTACTTCTACTTCTTCCCACTACTCTCTTCCCTGTTACTCGTTTGCCGCCTTTCTGTCTCTCTCCCTTGGCCCACTCTCGATAAGGCTTGCGATCACACCACACCCCATCCCCGGCTGAAGATCGTCATCGGTCAAGCAACGTTGCAGAAGCCACACTGCCACTCCTGTCTGTCTCTGCGACCTGCGCCGCTCTGCGATCCGCACACACACACACGCACACACACATACTCTCTCACTCTTTCTTCGCACGCCCGCGTCCCCCCCAATTCCCCTTCTTGCGCCGTGACAAGCTCCGCATTTAAAGGGGCCTAACTGTCAACCTAATTCGCTTTGGTCGGGTCGCAGAATAATTTCTGGCCTTCGACGGGCTCTCTCGCTCCCCTTGCTGCTGTGATCGTCGCTCGTCAGTCTCAAGATGCGCTGCTCTTGAGGAGATCTGCCCATAATTACTGGTGCCATCTTGTCTGCCAACGTTATCCGTCTATGGTCACGCTACCGTCTCCCCATCCCGCGCACCCATTGATCCCTTTCATCGCGACTCGACATACAGTGAGGTCATAGGTCTTTTCGAGCGACATACCGCAGATAACCCCTCCGAATCACCACCACCACCACCACCATCACCGAAAAACAAATAAAAAAAAGTTATAACAGCAAACGGAAAGAACAAACATATTTTTTCTGTTGGTCTGGTGGAATTGCCCTCTAGGCCCGCCTTGATTCCTTCGCCTTTCGACTGGTCGCAAAGCGCCACTTTACACAATACCTTCTTTGATTAGACAGAAGCCTGGTCGCTTCGCCTGGAGAACAATCTCCAGCTACAACTGGGACGGATTTTACGATCGGGTCGATTGCTTGTGTTTTATGTTGAATAGATGGTACAAAAAGTTGCGTTTTATTCTCTGTTAGATTGGTAAGTCAATTGTCATGCTACGTACCTAATATCGCTCGTCCGGGGATATTTTGCTGACCACATGGGGAGGCGCAAACAGACGCGAACACGATTTTCTGCGAATTTTACTTGTCTGGGACGATCGGCGATACCCAAATTTCTATACTAGTTCCGGGTTTGACCTGAATTTGTACTTCTTCACAAGGTACGTATATTTCTCAAGTGTCTATTGTGTGGTTTGCGTTGTGGTCGTGGTCCGTGGCCTAGCCTTCCCCGCAATTTCCCCGGAGAGCTATGCTGTGTGGTCCCTCGAACGTTTTATTCGTCGCCGCTGCCTTTCAGCAGCAAGCAGACGACACGCAGCTCTTGGTTCATCCGAAATGAGTACGGACGAGCGGGCAGTTGTGTGCTTTTTCCAGCCTCAGGTACAGTGGCTCCTCTATGAGATTTGCCCCCGGAAAGTTTCTGAACCAGGGCAGCCCCTGGAATCTGGGCATGAAAATAGTAAGATCTCGTTGAGCGCATGTGAAACGAGATTCTACTGGGCTTTTCTGGGCTTTGATCATATGATCCGCAGGATGCTCAAGAGGCTGGCGTTTTCCAGGCCCATGGGTGGTTGCCCGTCTCGCCACCCACAGCTGCTCCCCCCTCCCCCCAAAATTACTCAGCATACACGAGCTACAGCTGGGCCTGTCAGGCTTCTTTAATAACTCTTATTTCCTTTTGCTCGGCGAATCCCGTTCTCCGGTTGAAATTTCCTCGTCCCTCTTGCACTTTGACTTTGATATTTCTCCCTCCAGCGTTGGAGTGTCCCAGCTCTTGTGTATCTGCCTCATCGAGCATCAGCCTGGGCTAACTTATCATGCCGCAAGCAATAGCGTATATCTCCAGGAGCTCTTATTTCAAACGAAATAAATTCCTCCAGACACGGTGGTTTCTGAATTACTTTTAGAGTGTTTTTACCTCGTTGCTTTTTCGCCCACTCGATTCGAATCGAAGGTAACCACTCCTCTTGGCTTTGTTAATTTGCCATGCGGTACTTACCGGCTTCTAGTGAATACCCCGGACTCTTCATTGTATCTGAAGAGGCCAAGCGTTCGTTACACGGATCGAGTCATTCACGATCCGGTATCTGACGTCAGTCGTATCTGTAAGTGAGCCCCAACAAATGACTATATCTTCATCTTATCTCTTTCATTCCGCTCTTCTCTCCGTCTTGCGACGTCCACTTCCCCGCTTTCAAACACTTCATCAACACATTCATCTCAGCTCAGCTCCTGTTAAGTCTTTCTCACTCGAGAATTACTGACACTTTCATGGCCAGTCTACTTCGCGCCTTGCTATACGCCGTCTTCCAATTCGTATTACAGACATCATGGCTGCGCCAGCCGGCAAATCTACTGCGCAGGCGACCAAGCCTGTGACTTCGTCGACTCCGACCAGTAACGTGTCCGCCAGGCTTGAGAAAACTCACCCTGGCGTTCGCCGGTCCACCCCTGACTCTGAGGCTTTGGCTTCCTCTGATGACGATGGAGACCATTCACAGCAGGTGGCAACCTCTACGACCATGCCAGCACCCAAGCCTGCTCGCCGCACGTCATGGCTAAATGAAGTGCCAGCTACCGCGACCAGAAAGGCATCATTGACCACTAGTGGTCCCTTGTCCACAGGCGCCTCTAACCCAAGCAGTCCTGCTACCGACCAATCTGGATGGCCGAACACGAGCCCCGGTATTGGTAACTCTATTCCCTGGAATCACGTAGGGAACAGTTCCTTTCCCTGGGCTGCTGGTATCTGGAATACCGAGTCTCGGAAGGAGCCTCCACCACGGCTTGCGGAGATCGTCCCATCCCCGACCATGTCCAATCCTTCTACTGCGAGCAATTACTTTACGGAAGAAATACTGAGCCCTACGACTCGTACGACCGCTGGCGACTCGGCCATCCCGTTCTCAATTCCTCTGCATCCGACTCCAAAAACCTATCGGTCGCAGTCATACTCGGTAGGTCAGTTGGATCCTGAGTTCCTGAGCTTCATGGCGAACAAGTCCTCAAAGCCATACTCTGGCGGCCGTCCTCGTAACGGCAACCAATTCTCCGCCTTACAGCATCGGTCGTCGCGGCCTAGCCTTCTCGGTGAGCTGGGTCATGACCCCGCTACTCTTGGACGTGTGCGCGAGGACGATGACGATGACGCTGGCAGCCCGGATGGTTCGGACGGTAGCTTTAGCAACTATGCAGCCAACCAAGCCCGAACCATCGAACAACTTTCGAGGGAAAATGCTCTCCTACGCCAAGCAGCAGGGCAGATGGACAACTCAATGAGAGATCGTACCATGTCGTCTGCATCCGCAGCTAGCGGATATGCCATCGGAAGTGGCATCCATAATTTGCACCGTATTCGCGGCAGTGTCCCCGAGGAGACCGACCTGGCGGTAGAAGATCTTGACGAGGTTGGCGATATCCCTGGTTACAATAACATTCATAGTAGCGGTCGGAGAAGACTCTCTGAGCATTCAGCGAACCTCGAGAAGCAGCTCCCTCCTTACACGTCGTACCAGAATCGTACCCTGGAAAACGTCCGCAAGGCTCATTGGCAAACCTCTCTTGACTTTGGTAGCATTGCGGATATCCCTCAGAGTCGGCGCCACTCCTTTGCGGACATTCCTATGCGACACGCTTCTGTCTCAGGGGAATCCCAGGCAGCCGCCAGTACTAGAGCTGGAATGGGTGATAGAGAAGAGGATTATGCGAACATTGTTGACGGCCCTCTTTCAAATGTTCAAGGCCAGAATCGTGAGTATCCTCGTTTTCATGTGGCCCCTCGTCCCGAGGAACATGAAATGGAGACGGAGTATTTACGAGCTCGTCGATTTGCAGAAGCCTATTTTGCTCGCGACCCAGTTCTCCGCGCCGCAGACGGCCCCGCTTCGATGGCCACGTCCCTCCACCAAGCATACACGATGCCGAACGCCTACGGCCGCCACCAGCCTGGCCTCGCGCATTCGCACCAGAACCAGCTCCTGTATATCGCCACGTTCAAATGCCATCGGGCGGATGTCTTCTATATCCAGGAAGATACCGGTCTTCAGGTGAAACCCGGTGATCTCGTCATCGTCGAAGCGGACCGCGGTACGGATCTTGGCACTATACAGCACGCTAACGTATCTATGCAAAGAGCCCGGGAGCTGAAACAGCAGTATGCTGAGGAACATTACAAGTGCTTGATGATGTTCTCTAGACAGGGCCAGAATGGGGCCGCGAACGTGGTCAATGCTCCTAGTGGTGTACCCGGCTTGAATAACAGAAGCGCCATTGGTGGCATGGGTCCACATGGTCCGCATGGGATGCAGGACTCTGCTGCCGACATCAAGCCTAAATTGATCAAGAGGCTTGCCCAAAATCATGAAATCTTAACTCTACGTGAAAAGGAAGGAAATGAAGCGAAGGCGAAGCGAGTTTGCCAGCAGAAGGTTACCGAGCATCGACTGAATATGGAAATTCTCGATGCCGAATTCCAAATGTGAGTTCAAATGTAACGTTCGGCGCACTCATTCACCTGCTAACAAGACCTTTTTAATTAGGGACTGGAAGAAGCTCACCTTCTACTACTTTGCGGATTCCTACATCAATTTCAATTCGCTTGTTACTGATCTTTTCAAGATCTATAAGACCCGGATTTGGATGTCTGCTATCAATCCAGCTTCGTTTGTCACGCCTCCCAGCGCTGGCTTGTCGGCCCCAAACCCTCTAGCTTATAATCACGACGCACAAGCGGATCGCCCACTTGACGGCAGAATCTACGGTCATCCTCGTGATGCCATGGGCACGGGACGAGACATCGGCGCCAACCAGATGGGAATGTTGCGCAATGCCTATGTCGACTCGTATCAGCCGTTCAGCCAAGCCTCTCGCCAACCAGAGCTAGGTGGACTCGCTTCTGTGGATCCCTTTACTCCCTATTCGGCGAACAATTATGGCTCTCTGGATTCGGGATACGTTGATTACGGCGCAGGGACGGGCGCAAGCTCCGGACCATCCCGTCTACATGCTGCCCCGAGCGAATGGATAAACAACCGTTTCCAGGGGTTGTCCCTGAATTCCTGAGGAATACCATGCGGTTTCTCTGTACAAATTGATGCAATACCGCTGTACATCGAAAGCAGCTTTTATTTCTTTTTACCCCCTATCATCTTCTTCCGCCGCCTATGCAAAACCCATTCTCCTGTCTTCCCAACCCCAAGAAGGGACCATCCGCTCCGCTTTCATGTATTCAGATTTCACATTTCCTACTGTTCTTCTCGTTGACTTCGCTCTTTTACACTATCACTACATCTCTCTTTTCTAATGTGTTTCTTACAAGAGATTAGAAATCATGTGCAACGGATCAAAAGGAAAGACTCATGACCTGTCGTTAGTGCTGATAATTAATCATAGACTTCAGCTTTGATGGTATGAAGGCTTAGGCATGTTCGTCTCGGGCTATGCTGCAAGCAATCAGATCATTACCAATTCAATGGATCGGTTTTTTTTTAAATTGTCTCCTAATTGCTAATTGTGTATTATGTTATTGCCGAATCGGCCCATATGTTCCATCTGCGTGATTTTGAAGTCTCCGTATATAGGCTTGTCGACATAGGATCAAGGCACCTTGCACTTTCACGTGGAGCATGTCTGTCAAACTCTCGTTGATCGATACCTGACGACAGTATCACTTTCCGTCCGGTTTTGGACGGCGCAAGAGCCATATCTTCATAGCCTACAATGATTAGAAAAGATACATTCTTTTTTTTTCTTTTGCTCTTTTCAATCATTCTCTCCTCTACTTCTATGGACGATTAGATAAGTTGAATATGGCCCTTGGTCTGATTACGTTGCTTGGGTTTAGCAAGGATGAGTTTTATTAGTTGTCGCCTTGTAGCCTTACGGTCGCAAAAAGCGTAGTAAGGTAATTGCTAGTGCTGAAGAAGAAGGCGGTGTATATTAACACCTCAGGCATTAATGAGAGACACAGCGGAAGATTTCATTGGTTGGGGTGGGGGCTCGCCTAATTCTCTAGCGTCCCACACACAAGGTCGTTGAAGAGACTACTATCTTTGCTCCTCCAACTTTTCAGCTGTGACAACCGACGACAATCGACGACCTGCCACGCCGACAAGGTACGTTTTTTCGCGCCCCTTTCGTCGTGATTCCTGCTGCGATACAACGAATCGCTCTGCAGCCATCGAGAAACAAGAAAATTGAGCACCAGAGACTGATATTCCGATTTCCGTCCAGATGGGTGCCCTCAAGTACGTGGAAGAGATCCAGAAGAAGAAGCAGTCCGACGTGATTCGCTTCCTGCTGCGTGTCCGTTGCTGGGAGGTGAGAATTCCCCCCTATATTGCGATCACTTAACATCCCGCCGGGTGCTCGTGTAGTTTGCCATAGGATGCCCTTCTTGAAATGAGAAATGGTGTTACTGGGCGGCTCGAAACGAACTTTTTCTTTCGCCGGCGGATGGATGTGGCACAAACAGAGAGACTTGAGAGAAGCCTCATGTGTCTTGCTATACACTCGTTGAACTTTGCTGAGAGTGCATCAATATAGCTCCGTCAACTGAACGCTATCCACCGTGCTTCCCGCCCTTCTCGCCCCGACAAGGCTCGTCGTCTCGGCTACAAGGCCAAGCAGGGCTATGTTGTCTACCGTATCCGTGTGAGACGCGGTGGTCGTAAGAGACCCGCTCCTAAGGGTGCCACCTACGGTATGTACAATTTTCGTCTTTGAGGGATTGGAACCCAATCTAATTTGTTTGCGACTACAGGCAAGCCCACCAACATGGGTATCAACCAGCTCAAGTACCAGCGCGCTCTCCGTGCTACCGCTGAGGAGCGTGTTGGCCGTCGCTGCGCCAACCTGCGTGTCCTGAACTCCTACTGGATCAACCAGGACTCCACCTACAAGTACTTCGAGGTCATCCTCGTCGACCCCCAGCACAAGGCCATCCGCCGCGATGCTCGCATCAACTGGATCTGCAACGCTGTCCACAAGGTTCGTTATGAATGCCATTGGGGATTATATGTTCTCATTGATTACACGTTACTGACCGGGAATGTGTTTCATAGCACCGCGAGGCCCGTGGTCTTACCGCCACCGGCAAGAAGTCCCGTGGTATCAACAAGGGCCACCGCTACAACAACACCCGCTCTGGCCGCCGCCACACCTGGAAGCGCCAGAACACCCAGAGCTACTGGCGTTACCGTTAAATGTAGATGGGGTGTTTATGGGGGTTTGTTGGTTATGGGAAAAAATTGATCCTGTGGATGTCACTATTTCGATCAAAACTCGCATCTACGGTGCCGTTCTGGAACTGCTGGGGTGCGAGCTTAATGCAACAGAT